AAGTTCCCTGGTACGGATCCTCTTCCACGGTGGATTGCAGCAACTTCAAGTCTAACTCCATCGGCCGGCCGGACCTTGGAGCATCTTGGAGAGAAAAATCTCCTTTCTTGAACTTGGCCATCCAGGTCTTGCACGTGTCGTAAGAGATAGCGTCAGCGCCATATGTATCCACTATCTTGGCTTGGGCTTCCTTTGCGTTCAAGCCAGACTGATGAAGGAAAAGAAGACAGTGCTAATATGGTGCGATCAAACACGTGGCGGGAAACTTTCCGGTCAACCTAATAGTTCCCTCTCATTGAAGTGCCTCAACCACGCAATGCCCCCTTCAGCAGTGCATTCCCGGCGCAGTTCTAGAGAGCGTCACCTTTCAAGCAATTTTGTACATCGTCCGTCGGTCCTGTCGTGGATCAGAGCCTCGTCAGACCAACTGGGCTATATTGGTTAAAGATGAACTCGTCTCATCTAGCTATATTTTCGTTTTACTGCCCCAGCAATGTTTCCCGCCAAGCAGATGTGCAAATGTGATATCTGCGTTCAGACCAAGCTATTCCCGTTCGTGGACCGAACTATTCCCAGGGACCGCTTTCATTATATCATGTGCTCATAGGCAATTGGAACCATCACCCATAGAGTGAACGATAGGCGGTTTCGAGTCAAGTGTTTCGTGTTCAACGGATCATACTACATCAGAAAACGGCTTCGCAGCCAACTCTACCATCGGTACAGACAGAACGGGGCCTGAATTCCGAAGAGCTGGGCATCTAAAGAACAACACTGCAAGTGATTCCTCTGAGAGAATCAAATTTTGGAAGCTAATGAAATTCAGAAAAGATTGACTGGTCCTCGGACACACTTGGTCATCGTGGACTCAGATCAGGAGATCAGAGTGGCGTCGGCGCTCGCTATACTTCGTCGTTATCTTTGCAGGAACGCCTTGCCTCTCTGCCTCTGGCTGCCCGTACTCTTCTGGCGCGAACTCTAAGCTAACGTAGTGCAGCGCAGAATATAATTGAAATCCTCCCTCCTCCCAGGCACATGTTTGGTGGGGATCTGAGAGTGGGGGAGCAGAGAGGCAGTAGCAGAGGAAAGATGGGCATCGGCGTTGGAATAACGGCAAGCTGCGGAATGGACGTTTCGCCTTGAAGAGAAGTAAAGCACATGTCCCTTGATCGATTCTAGTCGACTCTACTATGCCAGGAGTTGTCTAGTACATACCACGGAAAACTCGTACCTCCTGGCCTGGCGCCCTTTGTTCGACGTCCTCACTCGATGTAGCCAAAGATCTGGGTTTCTGGAAGTGCATCGAAGCACTCCAATCCTGTGATTTTTCAATGAAAAATTTCGCTGACTATCTTTTGTAAGAATCTTAGTTGAACTGTCTTTGAGCGGTCTTGCTAGGCCTGAGTCAACAGCTTCAAAAACGATCCTGACGGCTTCACCACGTGCTCGCAGTATTAATTCTAATTTATTCAATGTTATCCGTGAATGTTGCCGGGTCACCTTTCGACGCGCAGGTGATGTTAATGTCATTTTCGGCTTACGGCGAAATTTCACCTATAAATACGTCAATTATGAAAAAGAGTCCTACGTCATCGACCTAGTCATCTGTACATTCTCACTGGATGTTAGGCGCAGATTCGGCGACGGGGGGGGGCATTTTGCACTCCGACCCATCTAGAGAGCTCTTTCATGAGCAAACAAGAGTTGACGGTTTTACCATGGTGGCTAGACGAGCTTGCTCCAGCTTCACAAGTGTTCACAGGTTTCACCAGAGCGGAACTTGTGAACCGGAACTAGTGAAAGCAGTGAAGGTACAAAATGCCCCCCCCCATCGTCGCCGAACAGCGCCATGATATTAAAAGGTCACTCAATGGGCAATGTCAGCCTGCAGTATTCTTTGACATAGGAGATTTTGGCTTCATGAGGGGACCACAAGGCGTTAGAGTAGTGCTCGGGCACGTCTACTTATTCAATTGTTGAAAAAACTGAACAACCTATGAAGCGTTCTGAAAATAAGGTCAATTTT